ATGTAAGCAGAACCGATAAGACAAGGTAGTTCAGCTAAGAATCCGTTATACTGAACAAATCAGGATACTGTATAAAGGCAGATAACACTGATTATTTGTATTCAGCGCATATATCTTTTATCATTGTATTTTCTTTTTCCTACTTAATCTTGGAAATAGAATTTGTATTTTACCTTTACTGCTAAAGGCTTGCTCATTAGAGAATAGCCCAAAGTCTGTGAAGTGTTTAAGAGAAGTATCTAAAGGAAAGTATTGTAGATGAATAGGACCCGTGTGGGAATTAATTTATGTATTGCAGATAAGACTTGGTAGAGCTGGATGACAGAAGATAAAAGATCAAACGTTTTACTTGTCAAAAAGTTTCATAAACCAGAACAAAGCCATCTGACTAAATCAGAGAAAGGAGAAATCTTGCCATTAATAACTATAAGCCCTTCCTTAACTGTGTAACTAGGAGTAGGCAGAGGTAGGATTACAACAGACTACAGATATGCCAAAATTGTATAATAATTTGTACCTATTCATGCTTACATTTAACTAGGGATGAAAGCTGGGGGTTCATATAAATGCTCACTGTACTTTTGAAGCCGTGTTTGATCAGCAAGGGAGGGAGAATATTTTTGCATTGGTATGAACAGCAATCAGAAGCTATAAATCATATTTGTAAAATTTAGTTGGAAATGACTGCTTTTGCTATTAGTTTGAATAAAATGGAGAAAAAATAGAATGCTTTTGCATTATTTCAGTCAAATCCTTTGAATCCAAAACACTTAAAACATTTATTTTGTATTATCGTTCATTAATATTTGCCTTGTTCAGACTTTCCCAACATTTCATCCTTCCAATGTGATGAGACTATATGCTGGGAATTAAAATCCCAACAACTGTAGAGAACATCACATTGAAAAGCTTGTCTAAACACTTTTCACATGTCTTTTAATAATGATGTTCTTACCAATCCTGCACATATTTACTCTGAAACAAATTCTTCTGAATTTTATTAGGAGCTTCTACTAACTTGTAGCCTTGATAATCCATCAATTGATAAAGGACTGTTTTCAGTCTCAATATCCTCCTATAAGGTCTGCCTTTCTTAAAACATGCACATACAGGTAGGAACAGCAAATCATGATTTTAAAATACTGTATTTTATAACACAGTAAGTCAATACCGAGAATTTCTTTAAACTTAGGGCTGGAACTATTTACAAAAAAACACGGGTGTTAAATTCTAACACTTGTTCACTCTAGCCTGAATGCTTTGAATCACAAAGAAAAAATAATATTGAACAATATTCTCAGAAAAAAACAAATAGGGTGACAAAACAAACTGAGTTTACGGGTTTTCTAATCAATTCTCATTAAAAAGCTACACTGGCAATCAATTACAAAGTTCCTATAATGATGTGGTGTGTTTTCTTGCTCATGTGCAACATTAGGCATAATGCCAAGAAGAAACTACTGATGTGCTGGTTCTTTGGCAATGTATTTGCAAGGATAGTTCTATGCATGTTTCATGTAGTATGCATCACGTAAGTAGTTTTCCTACCCCTCCTTTCCTCCTGCTTTTATTCGCTGATGTGAAAGGAAAGACAACATATCACTTGTCCTACAATTTCCTCTTCTGTTAATTGATGCGTGTTAAATGAATACATTTCTTTGGGATTCAGGTAATGCATAGGACAGTTGCCCTAAGCTGCTAACTTGAACAATTGGGCGGAAGTCAACATGGTCCCCTGGGAAGGTGTGGCTCAATTAGCTCAATTCCATACCATGACCTTTTCATGAACATGAATATGAGAATATAAAGCCACGTACAGCAGCTGCTCTTTTTTTTTTGCACCTGATATCTATGTGAGCATGTGTCTCATTTCAGCTGGCTTAAACACTGGGGAGGGAATGGGAAGGTTACATGCAACATAAAATGCAACCATCTGATTGAAAATTAGACAATATTTCAACAGAACAGGATTCATAGCAGAATTTAATAATTCCAGAAACATGGTTAAACCGTTCATTCAAATATATTGAATAATCATCTCTATATCTAATGAGCTACAATATAAACAGCACATATATGCCGGTCATATCTGTTCTTCAATCTACCTTTGCTAAGAGGAGGTTGGGAGTTCTGTGAGGTGAACTCAGATTTCAGATAATCTACAGTCCTGTGAAAAAGCATTAATCCACTTTCAGATTTTGGGGAATGTTTGCATGTTTTTTCCCAAATATGGGACATACATAATACATACAAACATACATACAAAAATTCCCAGAAGACAGTAAAACCTTAAAATTCTTAAAATTGTATATTATGTTGTGGGCATATTCCCATGTAAATAAAAATGTTTTAGTTTGCCAAGTTATTACTTCTAATATACGTAGCAGCATATTAGCACAAATATTATATACAGTATTTTTCTGAGCATACTAAAAGGACATATTTTGTTTTTAAAAAGAAATCTCGGTTTAGTTTAGCAATGTTGCTAAATAATAAATTATCCATACTACAGCAACCTAATATTATAAAATCAATACCAAACAACAATAGTTGTAAATTCAAATCAAGATATTATAAATTATGTATGTAATGTATGGACTACCAATGAGATATGCCCTATATGACCTTCAGCTGTTTTTTAATTCTTATTGTTAAAGGGAAATAGTATTCTGAATGTGTAAGTACACTATAGTATCTCCCAATTTTGGGATGTAAAACAGTAGTATGTTGTCCTGAAAAGCAGTCTTCAGAATAGAGGATCTGGCTGAAATAGAACAGAATAAAACTGAGACTAGGGTGGACTCGTGGCATTCTGCCAAAATAAGCCCAAACTGACTAGTATTGTATTTTTATAATGCTATGTGGGGGAACAGCTGGCAATCTAATCTACCCTTTATCTCACTAAAAAGCATTATGTGAAACCTTGATTAACTAGAGCCATAATGGGCAGTAGAAGGTTAGTGTTCACGGGTCATTTGTTGACGTCAATGGCATATGGGCTTGTAATCTAAGAGGAGTATATAGTAAGGAGCATGAATTAATAAATGAAATATTTTTAAAAATAGATACGGTATGCACTTGTGAAAGTGAGAGAAAGGAAAGGATGGAATAAATCTGAATGGATATGGTCTGATCTTGTCGAGTTGACTTGGTGAATACATGCATGGAAGTTTAAAATTCAATGAAAATGTAAGTAGTAATTCCTAGCTCATAGGTTAGTCATAGCCACATGTTACTGTAGCTGTGGAGTGGTGCTAATGAAAGAAGTAGAGATGTGTCAGGCCTGTCCCAGCTTGGGCATTTTGAAAAGAAAGACCTTCAACTCAGTTTGTAGCAAAAGGCATAATTTTACTAAAGCCAAGTGGTTACAGTATAAGCAAAGCCAGATCTGAATATTCCCATGTAAACCCAGTGCTTTTCCCTTCTGGACCCTCCTCCCTTGGGCTTTTCGTAAATGCCCAATGGTATTCAAACTAGGTGTTTTGGTAACAGCCCTAAAGTTTGGCACCTTTTGGTTGGCATTTGCATTCTGTTCTCTCACTTATGTCCTTGGATCTGCCAGGCTGGCATCACTGATTCCTCTCATTGTCTCATCTCCCCTCCCTATATCCCCTTACTCCCCCCTCCCCCCTTCTGACAGGATCTGACAAGATGAGTTTTGGGGAATGAATGCAATGTGGAAATGGTTATTATTCTTTTATCTGATATGGATAGATAAGTTGATGGAAATGAGATGAGAGGTTACAGAAAGACTGATTAGGCTCTTCAGAGACCAAAGATTGCTGAATATTTACTTAGAAGCTTGTTCCAAATACATAGTTTAAATGTCATGTCTTCATCAGCATTTCTGACTTAGTGTTTGTAATCAAATGTTGAGAAAATTGTTGAAGAATATTGGAGACTATGAATGTGAGACACAGATTATTTGATAGTGTGAAAAATGGGAAAATAGACATGGAAGAAAAGGAAAGAAATGAAAGAAAAAAGAGCAGACATAGAATGACGAAAGGAAGGGAACATATGCATCCTATTTGAAAAAAATATTGGAAGATAAATTATCTCTCTATAAGATGACTAAAAATATAGAAAGATTATATGAAAACCGCTCGGAACAGAGTGAAAAGAATTATGCTACAGAGTGCCACAAAATTATGTGGGTTATGCTAATGGCATATTCTTGGATCAAATGATAGAATAAAAAAGCCTGTGAATGACAAAAATGCTTCCAAGAATGTGGATGAATTATAGTATTTACTGTGTTTAGACAGAAAGGGTTAACTGCAAATCCTCAAGAGCTTAATGGAAAATAAATATTACAACAAATGTTGCTTCAAGATTTATATATATTCTTAGAGGATTCGTATAATAATTCGTATAAACGCAACAGATGCTGAGAAAATGTTTAAAGGATCATCAGATGTATTTGGAATATATTGGGGGGGGGAATTAAATTTCCAAGTATATTTTCATAGAATCTGATTTTATAGAATCAATAGATTCTAGGCAGCTTACAATATAAGAAAACCATAAAAACATCACATTTTCTCAAACATCATACATCATGTCGCTCTACCTACCCCAAAGATGCCTCTAATTTAATGACACCTTTCACCTGAAGACTTACTGAAAGAGAGCAATTTTCACTTTTTACAATTCTTCACTTTTTATAACACTACTTTCTCCAACAGCATGATGTATGGTGGTATGCAAAAAAGAAAATCCACAGTGATTTTATATCAAAATGCAAACCATCTGCTTGATCTGAGTGCATGCAGGGTTGAAACTATTTTTTCCATCAACTTTGTGAAACTATCAAAATGCACCTTCAATTTCAGCCAGTTAGTTTGTTAATTTGTAGCTTAAGTTGATTAGTATATTAATTACACTAATTAAAACATTTTGTTTCCATGCCATACATGACATAATAATAGTGATAACCTAAAAAGGGCTCACATAGAATTTGGGACAGAATTTTCTTCTGTCCAATGGAATCAACATACCTCTTGGTTTCAGGTATGGGTTTTCCAATCTGTTGGTCAGATTGCTTTATCTCAGTAGGAAATTCAGGAGCCAATGATCCAAGGTCAGGAAGAGATGCAATGGTGCTATCAGTCCGCTGGCTATCACAGAGCTGGGAAGTACTGCAAAATAATGGACAGTTATAAAATATTGCACATATGTTTTAAACTGTATTCAGAGACTAGATTAACTGCACATTTATCTCATGGTTGGCTCCTAGTAGGAAATCTAGTCTTCTACAGCCCACTTGAAATTAAACAGATGTAGACTTGATCCAGAAATTTCAGAAGAGCTTGATGTATGAGATCATTTTTAAAAACCAAACTAGGAATCCAACTGCTTGACAATTGCACTCTAAATTTCTACTTTATTGTTTGAGTAAATCAAATAAATTTACAATAAAGCACAATTATAAAATACACATGCACATTAAGCTCATAATTAGCAACACACATACCCACCCAAATATTCAGCATTACTAAGACGTGTAAAACTAACAATGTTGAAATAGCAAAAATCTAACACTAAAAGGTTATGCCAATATATCCTTGAAAGATGTTTAAATGCAAGAAGGTAGGGCTTTGCTAAATCTCACCAAGAAAGGAGTAAGGGCTCTGCCATTGGTACCTGCCAAACAAATACCCATTATGCATCTGTAAGAAAACAAATTACCTGAAAGTGATGTTCAAGCCTGGCAGAATCATATGAAAAGAATAACCATTATATATGGCTTTTTCGGATCATTTAAAAACTAGTGCTAGCATATTACATTGAGCCCAGAAAGAAACTGATGACCAAATGAGTAATATCTAAACCGTTCTAACCCTTCTTGTCTTAAACATCTGGTAACTGCATATTGTATCAATTAGAGGAGCTGATGGATCATTAAAGTTACACAACATTCCATTCAGGATATCATTAATGTAACGTTAATGAAACCTCATCGAATCTTTATCAAATAGTTGAGCCAGACAAAGATTATAAAGGCTGCTTCTAATACCAGCAGAACATGCAAAGGCAACATAACATTTGGAATCTCTTCTAACTGCGTATTTATTTACTCAGTAGAGGTGTTTCATCATCTAAGGGTTCCTGCACACCAGGGGTAGTCAACCTTGGCTCTTTTAAGACTCGTGGACTTCAACTCCCAGAATTCCTGAGCCAGCATGCTGGCTCAGGAATTCTGGGAGTTGAAGTCCACGAGTCATAAAAGAGCCAAGGTTGACTACCCCTGCTGTACACCATAACCTAAATTATAGCACTTTGAATCAATAACATGTTCTTTTTCCATGCATTGTTTCAGTTTATCTGCCATCGTCCAGACGACGATAGAATTCACACACTGTAAAAACATGGGCAGGACAACCTTTTGATGACACTTAATTTTGGGGACTTCCTCAAGGACTACAGCAGACAGAAACCATGAAGTACACATGTGTGAAACTTGAATTTTTAGAAAGTTTTCCTCTAAAAAGATTGCAAACTTCACAATATTTCCTAAAATGAACTCTAGCATCAGTTTAGCAATGTTTTTCACTTTCCAAATTCTAGTTTCTAGCACTGTCCCTAGCATTTCAATATACAAAGAAATTTAATTAGTTCTATACATTCGGAGAGGGTAGTCTTTGGCAGTAATAATATTGATCATCTTAGGACAAGTCATTTTGGAGAGGGACTGCCAGAAATATCAGTGGGAATAATCTCAGTTATCAGCTGACATTAGAAGGCAAAAGTGTGCCAGGAAAATCATTTGATGAGCCTTCTACACTTGCAAAGATTAGAAACTTTCAACAAACTGAACAAAGATAACTCCTTTTCCACCAAAAAGATTGAATTAGAGAGATGTTATATAAAAGACCATTTGAAAATACTGATACCTGAAATATTGACTTAAATTGCTTGATTTCAGATATATTTTTAGGAAATCAGACATTTTCAGATTACAGTCTACAACTAAGCTTATATATTCAGCATACAGTTCTGAAATATGAAAACAGCTATACAATAATCAGAGGTGGCAAAAATATGTTTATGTTTGTTATAGGAGTGCCCTCTATTGATCAGAGATAAAATAACACCTTGATTATACAGTAGCCCCTCTTTGAGGGAGATAGGTGGTTCAGAAATTTGAAAAATAAAATAAAATACATTGATTACTGGGATACTTACAAAAAGTAGCTGAAGAGCGGGTGGGGAATGGGAGGAATGAACACATGAACCATCATTCATAATTCCCTACTGTGGTTAAAGCAAGCACTCGAGTGGAAATATGCTAATTAATATATCAATGTTGCAAGATTTACTACTCAGTAGCAGTAAAAAAAGAACTGTAATAATGTAAAGACTAAATATAGAGATTCCAGGATGTATCAGTTTGCTTAGGCAAACTCTCCCTATTTTTAATTATAAATTAGTTATGAATTTGAACAAAGAAAAGAGGTCACAAAATAAAACTTGATTTGTCAGTATAGAAGGTATATGCTCTGGAATAAATATACACATTATAATTTTCACAGCATTTATAGCAATACAAAATTAGCACATTATATATATATATTGATTCAACGTATGAACAAAATCCATGACTTTTTTCCCCCTCTATTAATTCAACCATCTTATACCACTTAAGCCTATACAAATTCTCTAAGCCAGTGTTTCTTAACCTCAACAACTTAAGATGTGTGGACAGGCATGCTGGCTGCACAATTCTAGGAACTGAAGTTCACACAACTTCAAGTTCCCGCAGTTAGACACATTTCCCTACACTAGTCCATGAATAAATTAGCAGTCTTTTACTAATATTTAGTTTCAGCATACTGAAACTTAGATCTATAACTGTATATTCAGAGACTTCTTTACAATGGAAGGTCACAGAAACCACACAATGCATGTTGTATTATGGCAGCAACATGGGAGTCTTGCACATGCAAGAACACTGGCTTCCTAAAAAAAAGAATCACAGAAAATCAAGCTCTATTTATATGTCTGCCTCAGGGTTTATAACCAAATTCTCCTTTCTTTCAGAAGATCAGAATACATTGGACCCTTCTTTCCACAGCCTTGCAACTCGGAGATATCTGTCCACTACTGTATTTAAGTTCTAACTATCCTAACAACATTTAGATTGTTAACAAACAATGATAAAATATTCTACACAAAACAACCGGATAGAAAGTCCTGTATCCTAGTCCTCATCTATTGAATTAGCCACAATGATTTGGATTCATATAACATGCTATATACTAAACTGCAACGAATGAAAACATAAAACTTCAACTAAAAGTCAAACAAGCCATGTTTTGGCTTAGACAATGCATAAACCAGATCCACCTGTTTAAAATACACAGAGTGTTCTAGTGTCTTTTAAGGATGTACTGGTTCTGGTCATGAATCATCCATAGAGTTTGGTCTAGTGCAGGGGTAGGCAACCTTGGCTCTTTTATGACTCGTGGACTTCAAATCCCAGAATTTGGCTCAGGAATTCTGGGAGCTGAAGTTGAAGTCCACGAGTCATAAAAGAGCCAAGGTTGCCTACCCCTGGTCTAGTGGTTAAGGCACCAGACTAGAAAGCCAGAGACTGTGAGTTTCACGTCCCTCCTTAGCCATGAAAGCCACCTGAGTCAGCTTGGGCCAACCACTCTTTCTCAGCCCAACCCATCTCACAGGGTTGTTGTTGTTGTTGTGAGAAAAATAGGAGGAGGAAGGAGGATGAGATGTGTTCACCACCTTGAGTTATTGGTAAAAATAATAAAGGTGGGGGAAAAATCTAATAAGCTAATAGATAGAGATGGTTTAGAACAGTGGTTCTCAACCTTTTTAATGCCGCGACCCCCAACCGGTCGTAAGTCGAGGACTAAACCGGTCGTAAGTCGAGGACTAAACTGGTCGTAAGTCGAGGACTACCCAACCGGTCGTAAGTCGAGGACTTTCCCTGCCCGGGAGCGCTATGCATGCGTGGTTCCGCCCCCTGCGCCAGCCGAGGCGTAGCTGGCAAGCGGTAGAGACGGAGCAGGCCGACCACCAGCTGGCCCAGCTCAAGGGAGGTAAGGCACCCGCCAGAAAAGGGGAAAAAATGGCGGACGGCCTTGCTTGGCGACCCCCGTGAAATGGTCGATCGACCCCAAATGGGGTCGCGACCCATAGGTTGAGAACCGCTGGTTTAGAAGTAGCAGGAAACTGTGCTATTGGTACAAGGTGTAACAAACCACAGGCTCACATAGTCCCTTTTCTGCAGTCTCCATTTTTGCTATACTAAAGATTAAAAAAAAACTTCTTTCAGCTGTACACTAGCCACAGCTCTACAGCATCCAAGTTCCGGGAAATCTAAGTCACTCAACATCGAACCGAAGTTTATGAGCTTCAATTTTTTTCATTAGAAGTTAAGCTAAAAGAGCTCCCAGGGTTTGAACATACCAATAAACAGTGGCTAGCTAAATAAAAGATGGCAGTTTTCACTCATCCTTCTTATATAAAAAAAGAAAGGAAATCAGTGAGTTAGAAATTTGCCAAAAGAGCTTTTTCTGTTTTGTTTTACAAGGCCACAGCCTCTAAAATAGAGGTCTACCTAGAGCAAACATATTTGGATCCCATTCAACAAACTAAAACAACAGTGCAGTTGTTGCTTGGTGATCTCAAATTCTTCTTTTTCTGTTTCTGACATTTGCTGAACTTTTGTAGTCACAGGAGCATTTGTTCCCAGCGCTTTCTCTTGTTCCATGCCAAGACTTAGAAGCTGTTTCTGAAATCAGGACCAATAATGTATATGGTCATTTATAACGATGTATAAAATTATTTCCATGACTATCTGGCTTCCCTTGAGTTCTCTGCCTCTTTCTCAGATAAATTTTCCATCAACTTATATGGTAATAACATGTAACATAATGTAAACAGCCATATGCAGACTGTGCAATAGTAGCCACAGGCAAAATAAATGGTCTAAAATTAAATGTGGGGGGGGGAGGGGGAAACATTCCCAGAGAACTAAGCCAAAAAACAGCAACAAAAAAACAGCATCAGAAAACCAAGCATGAAACCCACATCACGTTCCCTATAAATAATATTTTAATGTGATATTCCTATTTGTTTTCCAAAGTAAATGTATCATAATTTCCAAAAAATACAG